TTTCTTTACCATCGAGTGCACTGGTCCTTCGAGAAGTTTTTTCTATGTGGTACAGCAGTACACCGACGATTGTAGTTTTTTACATCGTCACATCACGCAACAGTAGCGAAAGCTTTTACTTCTACCTTTTGTTTGCACCTTTTACCTGAAAGTAAATGCTTTATTTTTAAAAATACGGCCTATTGTCATCTGTCGTAGCTTAGTGGTCAAAGCATTAGCGCGTAAAGAATCCCGGGTTCGATTCCCGGCGAGGGTGTGACTGCAGCAACAATTTTTTCCTTATTAATTTGAAATAATTTATTATGGACAAAAAGAATTAAATAAATTTTAACATTAATATTAAAAACCAATGAATTTGTTACATATTTTTTAAATAAATAACGGTGGTTGACAAATGTATACACACCTCAAAGAATTGAACCCTTGCGATAGCCCTCCATACCATTGTGGTAAGAATATAAGAATAAATTATTATGCCAGGAATAAATATTCCATGAAGGTCTGGCATAATGTACATAACACCTGTACAAAAAAAGGAAATACAACAGTTCGTATGCAAATTCAGATGTCAGTGCTACTAAATAACCTTTTGACCCGTGTTTGAATAACTGCATTCAAAATACATTAATAAAAGTTCAAATCGTAATTTACATATTCCCACACGATAAGTACTATTACGTATTTTATTTATGCAAGAAACATAACACTGTTTTTTTTTTACAGATCCCACATATGAGATTACATTTAATAAATACGTAATGGTTAAGATATTAATTAAGAAAAAATCTTACGTATATTATAGTGTGAAAAAACAATGAGCTAAAACACGAAGTGCTGTTTCTGATATAATTTAAAAAATTCGAAAATTAGTGAACAAATTTATTGTAATTATACTCTAAATGTATATTTACATGTTGTGGTAAAGTATTTGTGTGGTGTAATTCTATTTAAACACAAACGAAAAAAAGAACGATGAACTGTAATATCAATAGGTACACATAAGAAGGGTTAGAGCGGAAATGTTATTATTAATCATTTGGGTCACTATAGCCGGATATGATTTCTTGAGAATTAGTCATAATAAACGGTATGTCATTTTAAACGGAGTCATTATATCCAAACTTTTCTATAGAGGATTTAATGTGAAAACCAAACTTAACACTGCAATTACTTCATATTAAGCGGTTGGTCAATACAGGCGGAGTCATAATAAACGAATTCCACTGTATTTCAAAAGAAATAAAATTAAATGAAAATAATTAGACACAGGTACTTGGTCTCTTTTTTCGTAATTCGGTAGAAAAAGACATAAGTACATAGTATTAAAAATTAAAACGACAATAACAAAAAGTAAAATTCGTATTTTTTGTGAAAAAGTGCAATGCTTATTTATCGGCGGATTAAAAGGCGGTCGTTTTTTTTCTCTGATGTGCCGCCACGCCGTGTAATATAGAATACAAGATTGTGAATAAAAAGTAGTATTTGTACTTTTTTGTACGAATATTTAGTACTTTATATAAGTACCCTCGTTATGAAAATTATTTTTCTATTGAAAAGTCGAAATTATTGATATCGTACATTATAACCGTGAGTCCGTAATAAGCGTGTATGTTTTAAGTATTGGCACATAAATTTACTTGTTTTAAAACCGAATAAAACAGATCTGCTTTTGAAAATAAAACTACGATAAATTATAAGAAATAGAGCTCGTCATATTTCTTACGATAGGTCATCAAGGTATTGATTAGAGACTCATCTAACCCTCGACTTTCTTACCTAAAGCATTTATGAAGTACAGGAATACACCCAAGGGTAAGTTGAAGGGTTTCAATCCAAAGGCTAATATATAACTGATGTGCCCAACGCCGAATGCTACAATACCTAAACAAAAATACTGAGGCCATATAAGAAACGCATCCCCAATGCAGCAGAATAACAACCCTGCAATTATCTTCCTAGAATACTGGTACCTGTATATAAAAAAAAGTACAATTGCAATACGATAGTTTGTTTTAGAAAGTAAACTTACTCATTTCCTAAACTCATACCGTGTAATAGCACGAATATAATTAGACTAATTATAGGAAGGCATTTTAATACCATGGCGAGAAGGGATGGTTGATCGTGTGGTATAAAAATGACGAAATAAACGGCTAAAGTCTTAAAAAAGGGCATCAATTTGGGCCCCACGCTTTTAACCTGAAATACATAATTAATAAATACAAATCTATAAAAGTCATCACAATTTCGTAACTTTATTTATGTATTCGTTAAAAAAGAAAGACGTAAAAATAAAAAAAACTGATAAATACGCCAATACTTTAAAGATAAGGTAAAAACAAGGTAAACAACCTTTATCTTAAAACAATGACAGATATTGCATACAAAACAAGTTAACTTTTTTGAACAATAAAATTGAAAATTACTATGCTAGAAATTGCATTAATAAAAACAAAAAAGGTGAATACTGAATGATTAATACTAATGAGATCAAAGGATTAAGTTTCCTCGTCTATCTTTTTTCTGTGCAAAAATATTCAAATTTCAAAGTTAGTATCAGCAATTTCTTATGCTGAAGTGTACGGTATGTTGCACACCTATTTACAAACAATTCCTTTAAATTTAATTTTTCAAACAACAAAGCAAGTGATTAAACAAATTGTTCACAAAAGTGAATTTTGACCACCCGATGCAATGGTGCTAACAGTTTCGAGCTCACAGTGATTGATAGGGGGGAAGAACTTGTATACTATCTTTAATAATAGAAATATATTAGGATAGAAATCTGGATTGCACTCTTCCAAAGCTTCAATCGCGCATGATGGACGATATACTTTGTCCTGTCTCAACCAATAAGATAAAGCTGCTTCAATTTTTGAAGTACTTTGAAAATAATATTAAAAATGTATAATGCCTTTATTTTCCTCAAGTTTATATACAGTAATATTATGTTATCTAGAATCCTACAAGTTGAATATGCATTAGGAAAGTTTTCACTGTTACCTTTTCGCAAAAAAGCAATAAACAGCAACTAATGATACCGTCTGGTAGATTGTCGATTGTGTACAATAATGATATATTGAGCTGATAGTGATTATTTTTTCAATTGTTTGTAAGTGAAAATTTTTTTATTCGTACAAGAATTTCGGGGGGGGGGGTGCGGTTTAACGCGATAACCCCCCCGCTAGCTATGGCCTTGGTACAAAAGTAGCTGTTTGCTTAAAATTACAAAATAAAAAAAGCAGTAACTTTCTTGTTCATACTGTTTTTATGATTCATTTCTGCCTACATGAAATATTTTCTAATTTACACGGAGAAAATGAAAAATAGCCCGTTGCTTCGTAAGCGAAAATTACAATTTGGACTCGAATTTGAAAAAAACAAAATTCCAACAGAAATAAATTTAATAGATATTGTTGTAATAATTAAGAAACTTGAAATAATTTTTAAAGAAACATGTCAAAATTGTAATTTTTGCGTTATCATAAAAATTTAGTTTTCTCCGTGTATTATACTGTACGTTGTATTTTCTTTGAGAATAATAGAGAGAAATAGTAAAAAAAAATTAGTTCGAGTTAGAAAAGTTACATTGACGAAATAAATGTCTGGTTTCTATTTCTGTTAACTTTACACGCAGTATTTAAAGTTCTTAACCATTTAACTATCTGTCTACGTACTTAAGACATTTTAATTGATTTAATTGTAAGCGAGAGGCTGGCGTTTTTGTAGTGCAGAATTAACTTTTTCAAGATCAAAGTTCACAAATGCTTCCATCATAACAATAGAAAATAATCATACATACGTGGCACAAAATTTTTAAAAATTTTCCTATTCTGGATATATTAATAAAAAATGAACACAAAAAGATCATATTAAAAATAAGAAATTGATAAAGCTACGTATGTATAAACAGTATAATTATCATGTTAGGTACTCAAATTTCCTTTGTGATATCAATAACACATGTTACACTATGAGAACATACCAACAATCCAATGTAGATTTTTTTTAATCTTATTTACAGATAATGACAAAATTGTATTAACAAGAGCGCATATTAATAACAAACAAACTTAACGTTTTATTAGTACAGGGCGTATAAGTAATAAGTACTACAGGACGTCTTTTTTTATCAAAAAAAAAACACTTTTTTTCTACAATTTTGTGTCCAGAAAATAAGAAATTTAATGGCCAAAAAAATTACTGGTGATAACGCGAAAAATAATTTATTTGGATAAAAGAAATTACAAATGTTCGAAATGTACTTAATATGATACGGAATCTTTCAACTTTTATGCTTGTTACTTATCAGTCGTCAACGATTAAAATCGTTGTTCTACGACTAAAATTAGGGGTTTTTGTTGGGACCATATGTACATTTGTACTTGAAACTGCATTAAACAACATTATTAGGCCATTTATCGTCACAAAACGCATTTTATTATCAAAGCTATTACGTACAATTTTAAGCTGTTATTACGCTTCGCGTTGGTGTAGTGTAACGATTGAAGCAACACAAATGATTAGTATGTCATTATTTAAATAAATTACAACACGCAATTTACCGTTTCCGCACAAAACAAATGAATAACAAAGAACTGCTTGATGATCTTCTTCTGGTCCACAGATTATTGATTACCGGATTACCGAAAAAAGCAGCATTTAGTTTTTATTTCGCTTTTGTATGTTTCATAAACTTGATAAATTTTATATTTCAAATCAAATGAGTACAGTCTGAGANAAAATAAATATTTTTTATGAAAAAAATAGATACTAACACTTTAAGAATTAATGACGAAAATTTGAAGAGCAATATTAAGATCATCAAATGGATGTCTTAAATGTAACGCCCGGTGACTTCTCATCACTATTTTTGACAAACTGAATAATTGTGCTTGTGGTGTGCCGTAATGGATTGCTTCGCAAAATAAGTTATCAGTAGACAAAGAGTGGTACATTAATACAATTAGGTCATGACTTTTGCGAAGCATTCTTTATTAGTTTTTCAAAGATGGTGGGGCTAAATAACTGGACATTAAAAGTATAAGTGTTCAATTTCTGTCCATTAATTGTATAATAAAATAATCAGAGCCGATCAAGAAAAAAAAAAGATTTATTACAGTAAAACCGGCACCGACGTTTCGTTTCTAATTTGAGGCTTTTTCAAGGCTGAAATACATAGTGACGGAGTGATGAAAAAAATGAGACATACCTAATTATTGACAACTTATTAGGTTTTTTAAAGTTAAAATGTATTGTTTACAAACTGTCGAGGAGAGTGGTACAGTCAAAAAACTTAATATCACAAAAACATACAATACAAATATTATAAATAATTAAAAGCGTGTTAAGATAAAATAAATACATAGTTAAAACAATTCTAAAAATCACGTGGTACTACACTAGGACAGACCAGAACAATAATACAATATAAAAATGGTTTGAAAAAAGGTTTTTTTCTAAAAACATGTAAATACTGTATGTATTATACAGTCATGTAGTATAGGTAGAGATATAGTAGTTGGTTAATTTAACTTTAATATTAGGTAGTTTTTAGTTGTTTTTGAAATTTTTGTACATATTGAAACAATTATTCATTACATGGTTGTTTTTAAACCCTGATCGAAAATTCTTAGGTTTTTTTTCTTGCAATAGACTGAAAAATGCGTCATTTGAAATAGTTTCCTTCTACATATATGTAAAATGCAGGGGTTATAAGATTTGCTTTTTATGCTCACGAATCCTTACGTAAAGGGGTCTCTTAGTTTGACCAATATAGCTTTTTTCGTAACCCTCGCAAGGGATTTTGTAAATTGAATTGGCTTTTTGTAGCATGTTAACATTGGTTTATTGTTCGGAGAATAGATATAAGCTGGTATTAGTTGATCTGAACGCAATGTTGGTGTTATAGTTCTTCCGTAGATTTTTAATTTTTTCGGAAAAACCCAAAGAACAGAAGAAACAAGAAACAGAAAAGAAGTTCTTCATTATTCAATACCATACGTCTCGTTTATAGAAACCGTCGTTATGTATTGCAGGCTTGAAAAAACCACAAATTATAGGCGAATCGTCGGTGCTGGTTATAATGTAATAAATCTTTTTTTTCTCCCGATCGGCTCTGATTATTTTATTAAAAGTGTAATTTTTTTTATAGTAGGTACCGGGTCAAGTGGCTGACATATTGTTTTATTTCCAGGAAAATGGGGCGTTACACTGGGAAAAAATGTCGCCTATTGACCATGCTGTCTTTGACAGCTTCATTTTTCTTCGTAGAAATAGTTGTAGGATACATAACAAATTCGATGTCGTTAGTGGCAGATAGTTTTCATATGCTTAGCGATGTAATAGCTTTAGTGGTTGCCTTTCTATCAGTTAAGGTAAGAACGTAAACAAGGTAATTAAACTTAGAACTACACAAAGAGAGTTTGAGCAACAACTATAAGTACTTAATAAGAACCAAAACTAAAACAATAATAACAACAAAGATATCTTTTTTTTTCCGAAATTTATAGAAGCTAATATCTCAGGAATTATGAATTGTAGATGTCACCAAAGAAGTGGTCGAAAAATACGTTTGGATGGGCGAGAGCAGAAGTGTTGGGTGCCCTGGTAAATGCTGTGTTTTTAGTAGCCCTGTGTTTTTCTATTACTGTTGAAGCGTTTAAAAGATTTATTGAAATTCAAACAATCCATGATCCCCAACTGATGGTGATTGTTGGTGGAATTGGACTTCTAGTCAATGTTATAGGATTATTTCTGTTCCACGGTAAGTCCGAAATTCATGGGTTGTACTGTAATGAGGTGTGGTGCACGTGAATTGGGCCAGGCGGTTTTCGTTACAGACGTGAGTAACAAGTTGTTCCTAAATTGAACCCCTCTTGTGATCAATGACATTCTATGACCATGAACGTGAGGCCCAGTTAATGTGTAGTATTGAATCAGCACAAAAAATTTGGCGAGCGTGCCAAAAATTTCAAGATGTTGCATGTATTTGTTTACTGAGTGGTGCAAATTATAAACACAAATTTTTGGGAAAGATGTTAACAACTTTGTGCACGTAGTTTTGTTTCTATGTGGTTTAATTTAAGTTTTAATTGGCTTCTTGTTTGGATCACGTCTTGAAATCTACGCTTTATCTTATCCAGGAATTCATTTAAATTATTTTATAGTGTATTGTGTATTAATTAGGTTTTTATCGGTATGTATGGCTTTATTATCATCTATCGACTAATACTCATTCATTTTTAATTGTTTCATTCGTGCTTTGTTGAATTTTCTTTCTGCTTTTCTTTTCTGGAAAATTAACTGTATGACGTTCGTTATTAGAACATGGTAGTTCTCATGGTCATTCGCATGGTAGACTGTCGAGAAGTCGGAACAGATTGGCCCATTTGGCTGTAACGGACGCAAATGAAAATGACGCAACTTACCCAAGTCCTCCACCTGAAGACTCGTCAAAATCACCACAAGACACGTTACGCAGAGTCTCTGCTGGTTCAATGAACATGCGTGGTGTCTTTCTTCATGTACTTTCGGATGCTTTGGGTTCCGTAATAGTCATCGTTTCTGCCCTTCTTTTCTGGTTTACCGAGTGGGAATACAAATATTACATCGATCCAGCACTTAGTCTGGTATTGGTCATGCTAATCTTGCACTCAGTATGGCCCTTGTTACGCGAATCGGCATTGATTCTACTCCAGACCGTACCGACTCATATCCAGGTGGATGCCATTCAACAGAGACTATTGGAACAGGTCGATGGTGTTTTGGCTGTGCACGAATTTCACGTGTGGCAATTAGCTGGCGATCGAATCATTGCTTCTGCCCATATCAGGTCAGTTAGATGACAACCTGGTGGTAGTTCTTGTCTATCTGTAATTTTAATTTGTATTGAAGGTGTCGCAATTTATCTCAGTACATGATAATCGCTGAAAAGGTGAAGGAGTTCTTTCACAATGAGGGTATCCATTCTACGACAATTCAACCGGAGTTCGTGGATTATCAATTCCCGGCTGCTGATGAACAGGAAATAAGCTGCGTACTGGATTGCCCCAAAGCCGAAAATTACGATTGTGTTCAAAACACCTGTTGTGGCGTGGCGAAACAGGTAGGTCAGGGTGACATTTTTCTATTGTTCTTGAAGCTGAATTCGTTTACCAGAAAAGATTTCCTCGAGGAGACGATTAATTTTTTGAGATCGGAAATCCATTTAATTTTGGTAATATTTTTACTTAGGATGAAAGTAAATGCTGCTGCTGTTAGAAAATGCAACTCACACTGGTTCTTTGATTACAGATTATTTATTGAATTAAAAATAATTGGGCCTGGCTAGGTATGTTAATCTATCGTGTCTAATTTCACACAAAAGTGGATTCTTTCGTATTTTGTCAATTCTTTTTTTAATAATTATACATATATAAGAGTGTGTTCATTGCAGGTCCATAACTAAATAGCTTCACATACAATTCGTTGCTCATCATCTGTTATTTTATTTCACTCTTGTGTGTCTTTTAGTCCTGTGTTGTTGTTGATATGAGGATTAGGGTGGGTCAGGTGGTGTTATTGTAATATTCTTTTCTCTCTTTAGGGACGTGATACTCCTTCTCCAATTGACACTATGTTCGTTTGTCGCCAAAGGAATAGCACAGTAAATTCAAATATTTGTCTGCAAGATATCGTTAATGATGTCGAGAGGGGGGCTCTTTTGGAAAACAACCGGTGTAACCACCAAAGCTGTGGTTGCGGCGGCAGTGCTGAGATCGTTGCAAAACAATGACCAACGGCAGAACGTCTCAATCTTTTTGTCTAATCCGTTTACTTTCGAATTTTTATTTATAGAATTACCATTTTATTTCTACTTTGACACCAACTTTTACATAGTTTTTATAGTCAAATGAACGAATCACCTCTAGTCCGTATGTTATTTTTTTTTTTTTGTTTAAGATTGGACGGTAACTTATTTATACCTACTACTACTATTATTAATTTTAAAAAAGTCAGTTTTTCCACCCATTTTAATAAGTCGTATTAATTGATTGAGTTTTATACTTTGAAATCTCATGTTATAATAAGGGAGGACGTAGCGACACCGAACAAAAAAATCACTTTCGGGGATATCTTGTTTTTATTTTAATCTATTCTTATTAATTTTTTTTTTATTTTGGCATTTTAACAAAAGTTTCGTACTTTTAGGTCGCTGATTGTAAAAAGGTAATGTAAGAACTGTTTACTTTAATTTTTTTGACATAAATACGTGAATTTTTTTGTGTTTATAAAAAAGATATAAAATAAAGGTTTTTTTCTTCTTTTTTTGTACTGAATATCGACCCCAATCATCATAAAAAACCTATTTTAAAACAGTAAAGGTTCCCGATGCCACGCTCGATTTTTTTTGTGCAAGTATTTTACGTATTTCCAGGGCGCATGTTTAAGCCGTATGACCAATCGAACCGCACTCTTTTCTAATTTATGTAGGACGTGGAGACCTTTAAACATTATAAATGGTAAATGTACCTGCGACTTACACAGGTGTTAGGTATATGTGTAAATATTTATGTCTTGTATTACAAAGGAAATTAAAAGGGAAAATTGTTTAATAAAATCTTTATTCAGAAAGATTTACCATATTTGACACCAGTTTCCGAATTAACATATTTTACTATAAGTTCATTTTGGAACAAATACAACAACATTAGTGGTAAGTTTTTATAGTCTTTTCGTTTATATCCTAAATTTATGTTAAATTGAATACTAAGTAATTAATATTATGAGATGAGCAAAATTACCCTCTACATACCAGACTATTAAACATCAAAAAATCATTTTAAATTCGTTATTTAAATACATACATAAATATTACATCTACATTTATTCACACAGCTCAAAGACTACAGTCTCAATAATTTAATATTTGTTATGGAATCGAGATTTCGTAATACGATTTACTTAACTTTATTTTCTATCTCTAGTAGTTCCTTATTCTTAAATAGTTTATCACACCTTGTAGTGTAATCGACAACACTCAGTGCGATTCCCACCTGGGCTGCGTAATATGTAGCCATTATCAGAACCTAATAGACAAATATTGATTAAAATATAATTATCAAACAACAAAAAAGAAAATAAATGAGAGTTTACCTGGGCGTATTCAATGTTATATTTAAAATGATCAACTCCAATTAAAAAATCAGAGATCGCAAAACTTATACCTCCAGCACAAGTGCACAATTTGCTCCATGTCCATAAATCCTAAAACAGTAAAGTATTAAACCGATTTTGCGTAATTATACCCCGTTAATTAAGAAACTAATGTTGCCTTTATGCATCTAAAAATATGGTTTATTATTTTTGTTTTTCGTAATATTAAAAGTAATTTAATTTCATAGCTAAACAACAATGGAAAAAATTTTTATCGACTATAACTCACTTCAAATTAACGAGGAAAAATTGTTGCTGCAGTCAAACCATCGCCGGGAATCGAACCCGAAACCTTTGACTTTACATACCAACATTCTGTTCGGGTTCGATTCCCGGCGGAGGTATGACCGCAGCAACAATTTTTTCCTTATTAATTTGAAATAATTTATTATGGACAAAAAGAATTAAATAAATTTTAACATTAATATTAAAAACCAATGAATTTGTTACATATTTTTTAAATAAATAACGGTGGTTGACAAATGTATACACACCTCAAAGAATTGAACCCTTGCGATAGCCCTCCATACCATTGTGGTAAGAATATAAGAATAAATTATTATGCCAGGAATAAATATTCCATGAAGGTCTGGCATAATGTACATAACACCTGTACAAAAAAAGGAAATACAACAGTTCGTATGCAAATTCAGATGTCAGTGCTACTAAATAACCTTTTGACCCGTGTTTGAATAACTGCATTCAAAATACATTAATAAAAGTTCAAATCGTAATTTACATATTCCCACACGATAAGTACTATTACGTATTTTATTTATGCAAGAAACATAACACTGTTTTTTTTTTACAGATCCCACATATGAGATTACATTTAATAAATACGTAATGGTTAAGATATTAATTAAGAAAAAATCTTACGTATATTATAGATTACATCGATCCAGCACTTAGTCTGGTATTGGTCATGCTAATCTTGCACTCAGTATGGCCCTTGTTACGCGAATCGGCATTGATTCTACTCCAGACCGTACCGACTCATATCCAGGTGGATGCCATTCAACAGAGACTATTGGAACAGGTCGATGGTGTTTTGGCTGTGCACGAATTTCACGTGTGGCAATTAGCTGGCGATCGAATCATTGCTTCTGCCCATATCAGGTCAGTTAGATGACAACCTGGTGGTAGTTCTTGTCTATCTGTAATTTTAATTTGTATTGAAGGTGTCGCAATTTATCTCAGTACATGATAATCGCTGAAAAGGTGAAGGAGTTCTTTCACAATGAGGGTATCCATTCTACGACAATTCAACCGGAGTTCGTGGATTATCAATTCCCGGCTGCTGATGAACAGGAAATAAGCTGCGTACTGGATTGCCCCAAAGCCGAAAATTACGATTGTGTTCAAAACACCTGTTGTGGCGTGGCGAAACAGGTAGGTCAGGGTGACATTTTTCTATTGTTCTTGAAGCTGAATTCGTTTACCAGAAAAGATTTCCTCGAGGAGACGATTAATTTTTTGAGATCGGAAATCCATTTAATTTTGGTAATATTTTTACTTAGGATGAAAGTAAATGCTGCTGCTGTTAGAAAATGCAACTCACACTGGTTCTTTGATTACAGATTATTTATTGAATTAAAAATAATTGGGCCTGGCTAGGTATGTTAATCTATCGTGTCTAATTTCACACAAAAGTGGATTCTTTCGTATTTTGTCAATTCTTTTTTTAATAATTATACATATATAAGAGTGTGTTCATTGCAGGTCCATAACTAAATAGCTTCACATACAATTCGTTGCTCATCATCTGTTATTTTATTTCACTCTTGTGTGTCTTTTAGTCCTGTGTTGTTGTTGATATGAGGATTAGGGTGGGTCAGGTGGTGTTATTGTAATATTCTTTTCTCTCTTTAGGGACGTGATACTCCTTCTCCAATTGACACTATGTTCGTTTGTCGCCAAAGGAATAGCACAGTAAATTCAAATATTTGTCTGCAAGATATCGTTAATGATGTCGAGAGGGGGGCTCTTTTGGAAAACAACCGGTGTAACCACCAAAGCTGTGGTTGCGGCGGCAGTGCTGAGATCGTTGCAAAACAATGACCAACGGCAGAACGTCTCAATCTTTTTGTCTAATCCGTTTACTTTCGAATTTTTATTTATAGAATTACCATTTTATTTCTACTTTGACACCAACTTTTACATAGTTTTTATAGTCAAATGAACGAATCACCTCTAGTCCGTATGTTATTTTTTTTTTTTTGTTTAAGATTGGACGGTAACTTATTTATACCTACTACTACTATTATTAATTTTAAAAAAGTCAGTTTTTCCACCCATTTTAATAAGTCGTATTAATTGATTGAGTTTTATACTTTGAAATCTCATGTTATAATAAGGGAGGACGTAGCGACACCGAACAAAAAAATCACTTTCGGGGATATCTTGTTTTTATTTTAATCTATTCTTATTAATTTTTTTTTTATTTTGGCATTTTAACAAAAGTTTCGTACTTTTAGGTCGCTGATTGTAAAAAGGTAATGTAAGAACTGTTTACTTTAATTTTTTTGACATAAATACGTGAATTTTTTTGTGTTTATAAAAAAGATATAAAATAAAGGTTTTTTTCTTCTTTTTTTGTACTGAATATCGACCCCAATCATCATAAAAAACCTATTTTAAAACAGTAAAGGTTCCCGATGCCACGCTCGATTTTTTTTGTGCAAGTATTTTACGTATTTCCAGGGCGCATGTTTAAGCCGTATGACCAATCGAACCGCACTCTTTTCTAATTTATGTAGGACGTGGAG